AGTAAAAGCCATTGGAGGTAATGCAAGCTTAAGACCCATAATAAAAGGCAAACCACCACAAGAGGGAGCAAGGGTGGCGCAGTGGTGAGAGCACTCACCTCCCACCAATGTGGCCCCGGTTCAAATCCCAGCGTCAACACCATATATGGGTTGAGTTTGTTGCTGGTTCTCTCCCTTGCTCTGAGAGGTTTTTCTCCAGGTACTCTGGTTTTCCCCTCTCCTTAAAAACCAACACTTCCAAATTCCAATTTGATCTGCAACGCACGGACATGTTTAAAAGTTCATATGAACTCTTAAGTGCTTTGTGGGTTAAAAAGCAATTTACAATTTACAATTTACAACTATGGTTGTGTGGAAGAATATGGGAATAGAAAGGTGAACACCCCCAAACCACACAGTTTAGACCAGTTTTTTTCAGTGCTGCTCTTCTCTATCGAAGAGCACAAATGACAACAAAATTCTTTTATAAATAAATAATATTATTATCTATCTTTTTTTTCAGTTAACTTGGCTTTAGGAATGCTGGCTAGTGGACAGGTTTGTACAAGAATAAAATCAAAATTAATTTCTCCTACAATGAAAATCATTGCAGAAGTGACAGGTTAATTATGTTGTGTTATTCCTGTCCTCCTAGTCTCTACGTGTTGGGCTCCTGGATGCTGATGTTTATGGTCCTTCAATACCAAAGATGATGAACTTGAGTGGAGAGCCAGAGCTGACAAAACGTTAGTTGCAGTTCAATGTTTAACAACCACTCAATGCTTTGGTCCCATAGCTTATAAGTCTGACCATCCTGGATGAATGTGTATATAAATATGGATAAATGTAGTAAATCATACAGTTATATTGTCTGATCTTTTAGTTGAATATACAACTTGTTAGATTAATATAAATTCTGCCTCTACAAGTAAAAGACATCTTTTATTCTCTTGGTAGAAAATCAGATGAGGCCTTTGGTAAATTTTGGTATGCCTTGGTAAGGACAATGCTCCTTTCTAATCCAGTTACTTTAGGTAAACGATCAGACAGAGTTATAATTTCTTTAACTTAAACCTAACTTATCTGCTTATTTTCTATTCAACATTTCAGTTCCACTAAACATGACATAATTTATTCATTCTTTTTATCCTAAACCACCAGCAACATGCCTTAGTGGTTTTTGTTTTATTAGAATATGGGCAAATCTCCTTATATGTCTGAGTTATTGAGGTAGAAACTATATCAAGGGGTTTGGTTTTTGGGCCACCAGAACTGTCTGTAATTAAGATGGATTTTTGGAGAGAGGTTGGCTGTTTTAATATTCAGTATATTATTCTCCAGGGATGTCACTAAGATTTCAAGTTGTCAGGTAAAGACAACAAGTAGGCAGGGAATAAAACAGCTAAGGATTTCTTTGGGTTCTATTTTTCTTCTATAGACCTTTGTCACATGGCAGCCTTTTGTCTCAGAAGATTTAAAAAGCTTTGTTTACGCATAGGTAGCCTCGTTCTCTCTACAAGGCTAGCCAAGCATAATCTCCTCAGACAAATTGGCCGCTGCGTGACAAAGGTCAATTTTCCTATGAAAGCAGCTGGGGCCATGTTTGTGGTAGTAGCGGGGGGAAATGCCCCGCCCCTGCCTCTTAAATTTTATGACGGCCCTGATTCTCTTATGACACTTTCCGTTATTGTAGCATTCTTATCCATAATGTAAGTATGGCAGTTTCAACACTATTGTGTTGCATTTGTGAAGTAGTGAATTCAAAATTTGGTTTTATCAATTAAGTTGATAAAGTCAGTTTGCCTCCTTAAAAAGAATCAAAAGTGGACGTTTAGAGTACTAGCCCTTGCATCAAAGGGAAATTGGATTCACTCTGTTAAAGGGATAGACAAGTTCTTATAAAACTTCAGCTAGGCAAATTTTCTTTCCTCCTTCTTTTATAAAAAACATTATCCAGATTTTTGTATTTGTCCCACGTGTAGTTTACAAACCAGCATCAATAAATACTGTAAAAAAGCCTTTCTTAAAAGTGTCTTTTTTGTTTTTGTTTGCTTCTTTTTTTTTAAGTATGTCAATGGGATTTCTTGTGGAGGAAGGAGCTCCAATTGTGTGGCGAGGACTCATGGTAAGATGAACCTTTAAATGATTGTGTTTTTTATTCCGCTCATGAAATAAAGGAAAATTTAAATTTGCTTTTAGGGATTACACAACATTTGTTATGACCTTACTTTGATGGGTTCTGTTTCTCCTTGTTGTTTCTTGACCCCCTCAACAGGTCATGTCTGCCGTTGAAAAGCTTTTACGACAGGTGGCCTGGGGAGAACTAGATGTCTTGGTGATTGACATGCCACCAGGCACTGGAGACACGCAGCTGTCTATCTCTCAACAGATTCCTATTTCAGGTCAGCCAGTTGTTTAAAGAAATGTCACAGGATTGGATTTCCCCTCGATAATGCTTACTTGGATACTCCAATAGTATTTAACAAAAATGATAAACAATGTAATTTAAACTAAAAAGGCTTAGTGTAAAGTAATATGAAGTTTCTGTGCAGGATCAAATTAATTTCATTGCTGTCTTTGTTTATTTCATTGTTAAAATGAGGTACAAATGGTTGTTGTGAGGGGACCATAGAAACTAAATGGAAAAAGGATCATCGCAGTTGAAGACACAACTTACGTGGATACGAAAACAAAGCCTGAAAAAAATTCAGGCCTGCTTTTTTTTCAGACTGTCTTTTCTCATCTGCATAGGTTACATCTTCATCCCACAGTTCAAATACATTAAATTCATACATTCCTTAAACAGAGAAAAAGCACAAGAAAGCTTCTGCGAAAATGGACATTTTTTGCATGTTATTATATGAAAATAAAGTGCAAATCAGCAAAAAATGTTCAGAATTCTGTTAGTCTACTCAAACAAGTCATGCAAAATTCACTGCCTCTCAGGATGATTTTGTCCGGAGCTTTTCAATAATGTATCATGTCATGCTGAAACTGAAGTAAAAGCTTTTTTGTTACCTTTAAATTTGGTGTTGAACCTAATAGTGATGTTTTGATGTCAGTGTAATGTTTATTCCTTTTTGATAATTATAGGTGCTGTTATAGTCACAACTCCTCAAGACATTGCACTGCTTGATGCTCGCAGGGGAGCTGAAATGTTTAGGAAAGTTCATGTGCCAGTAAGTTAATGCTTTATTGGGCACAAAAAAAAACACTTGGAGAATATTGTGTCCCCAAATCTCAAGTTGTAAGCCCTTTCCATTCCCCAAAAATTAGCAGCCGAGTTATAGTCAGCTTGAAGATGCAACAGTTAATAACATGGCTTCTTCATAGATTCTTTCAGTGTTCTTCATATAGCAAGCATTCAGCTCCCCCTCTCTTTGTTTCCTGTCTCCACTGGAGCTAAAAAGCTTTTAATTACCTCCAGATACAATTACTGTTACAAAATAACAGTACTGATTAAAAAAGCGACTTTTTTTTAAACATTCAACTACGATGGGGTCAATGTGTTGCAGGGTAAATGAAAGACAAATAAAGACAAGGGTAAATAATAAAAGAGGGTAAATAAAAGACATTTATAGAAAAGGCACAATACAAACAATAAATGTCATTGTTGTTGTTATTTAGCTTTGTATCTGAAAAGAACATTTCTCTACTTTTCTTCCTGAAGGTGCTTGGATTGATCCAAAACATGAGCCATTATGTGTGCCCCAAGTGTCAACACAAAGCATACATATTTGGACAAGATGGAGCTCGCAATGTTGCCAAAGAAATGGACATGGAGCTCTTAGGTATGTTTATACATAAGCTTTGCTAATGTTTTATATGGGAACATGGTGGCTTAGCAGTTAACACCTCAAACTTTGAGCCTTTAGGTCCGGGTTCAAGTCCTGTTATTGACTGATGTTCCAATTTGGTGCTTCATGCTACAGAAACTGGGTTAAGCTCTAGCCTTATGAGTCTGATGGCTCTTGGGTGCTTTTACCTGCCTTGGTGGTAGTTTATATTACCACAATGACTTAATTATCTGAAAATAAATGAAATTCAATAACTAAACTAAAACAGGAATAAAATATAAATCTATATCTGGTGCAACCAGTTTTCCCAAGAAGAATGATGAACAAATGAGAAAGGAATGTTGATTGTAAAAATCTCAAATGCTTCCAGAGCCTTATCGGTAAGAACATGCGTACCAAAACCAAAAAATGATACCCTCTTTCCAAATACAAAATTTCACGTCTGACATCAGCTTTGAATGGTTACTTGAATTTCTATTAAGAATGTTTTTTTTGTGCAAAACTCAATTCACATTGAAGAGGCAAGTATCACAAGGCTGTCAAACATGTGTCAAACAGAACCTATAAATTTCACCGTATGTTCTGTGTTGCTTTATGTTTTTGTAGGTGACATTCCTCTCCATATTGACATAAGAGAAACAGCAGATTCAGGAAAACCCATTGTAGTTTCTCAGCCAGACTGTCTGCAGGTACAGTGTACTACACCTGACATTGTTCTAAAACAGCACCAAGCAAATTTAACTTGGACATTAAAGAAAGAAACAAGACTAAAGAAACATAGGATTAAAGAAACATAACCAACAAATTTATTCTCCATTGTCTTTTCTGAAACAGAGTAAAGCTTATAAGACCATTGCAAGTCGCATCTTGGAAAAGCTTCCCCTGTAAAAGAGGTATCAACTTTGAAGCGATATACTGGTTAGTATTCAGCTGCTGTTCAGCAGTAAGTGACTGTAATGTCCTAAACAGTCTCGTCCCACCATTATCATTACTTTATGCCAACATAGCAAGTGGTGTGTAAGATGGGAAACAGTGAGGATTGACTTGAAGGCAAGATGCAAAACCAACATTGTTGAAAAGAAGTTCACAAGTTCCAAAAATCCTAAGCTAAGTAAAAGGACAGGAAACATGGTGCTCTAACAAAATCCTAAAGACAAAGCACAGTCCTGGGAAATAAAGAAATTTTCAACTACAGAAGATCTCAATAAGAATACATGACATTTAGGTTTATGGTAAACAGCGTCTAACCACATATGTAAAAAAGTTTTTGTTATTCTAATTCATTAGTTTAGATGTAATAATGTAATACTGTACATAATAATAATAATAATAATAATAATAACATTGAAAACAATGATAATAATAGACTGATTCTTTGTCTCATGGTGTAACCATTTAATGTTTTTTATTAATATTATGTACATGCATCAGAAAAGAATGTAGATTGCTTTACACTGTCCTTGGGAAATGTCTTGATAAGATGAAAGAATGTTTAAATTGTTACTTTTTAAAGTGTTTTAGGACAATGAGCTATTATCAACAAAAGACTGTTTTTTACTTGTATAAAAAACAGCTAACAGATAATAATGTGCAAACTGCCAGCAGATGACCACAGGCCTTTTACAACCTACTTGGTTTAACTAGAAGATGGTTGGCAAAATCTTTCTGTTAGGGGGTGTTTACATGACACCAAGGTGACTTTGGTGCTGTCAGGAGTTCACTCCGGTATCCAGTTCCCTCTTGTGGCTCTGTACTTGTTTATATGATACCACCACAAAATGTCATGCGGTTGCAAGTTCACCCCGGTTGTAAAATCTTTCTGCTGATAGACCAAAACGGGTAGCACATGCATGCGTAATTATTGTCAATCCATGGTGGCATCGTCATGTTGGTCAAGGAACGACAAAAAAAACATGCAAAAACATGCATGCAGGTTTTCTCACGTAAACACCCCCTTTGTAAAGGATATTGTTTTCATTAATACATTGCTCTACAAACAGTACAATGGTGTGTTTTGTTGTTGAACTGTCTTCTGCTGTTACCAAAAGCACCACTTTACTTGGGTTTAGTCTCAGCATCTGAAACCCTCCGTATGTAAATAGCATCTTCAGGATGTCTAATGATGAAAGAAATAAAATGAAATAGAAGGTATATGTATTTCTTGTAGCCTTTTCTCACATCAATACCTTTAAGGGGAACACAAGTGCACCTTTTCTAAGCACTGCCTCTAACCCTGATATCAATAGCACATGGGGTCAATTTAATAAAACTTTTACTAGTGTCATTTACAAGGGTAGCCTTAGGTTCAGTCTTAAAACAGTAGCTACACTTGTTAACATGTTATTAAATTGACCCCTAGTTTCCATCAAGGTTATCAAGATCCCGAATACAGTTGGTAGTGTTGTTGTAAATTCTTAGCTTATACTGAAACTTCACTCTGCTGATCTACAATCAATGAAAAAATTGTTGAGAAATTGTAAAGTAGGTAAAACATCAATAAGCCCCTTTCCGGATTAGTGCCTCAACTAATTTTGTCACCGATTGTAGCTAGTTTACAGGCACAAAACAACTAGTGCAAATGAAACATAACAGGATTTAGAACTCCAACAAGCAAGAGGGCTGGAAAAAAGTCACATCTGGTAGTCTACAACAAGTAGATTTTCTTGCTGGGCAAGGAAGTACCCCTAAAGCATGACCAACAGAAATGAAACCTCTTTCACATGGCAAATTGCAGAAGAACTGTTATCAATGCTGTTCTCTTGGGCTAGTGCGTGCTAGCTATAAAAAAAACTGACTTTCTTTGCACCCTCATTTTTGCAGGATTTTACACAATAAGGTTTACATATTCTAATTTTCTTAACTCCTGGGAGTGATTGAAGACTTACTCTTTTTCATCCTCCTCATACATGTATGATGAAGCTATGGCCAACAAACTGCCATCATTACTAAAGCTCAATGATGCTATACTTGTTGGGTAACGATGGAACTGAAAAAAAGGAAGGGAAATATCAGTTCCTGCACCCAGATTTACAAGGTGTTCCTGAGTAAAGTATAAGTGCATGATCTGGCTTGTATAAAATAATTTGCAAGAATGTTGAGGTAATAATGTTAGTGCTCTACCTGACAGAGTCTTTTCTTGTTGAAGCCATCCCAGATGTTTACAAAGCCATCTGATCCACCAGTGGCAAATGTGTTGTGTCTGAAATCATTCCAAGTAACAAATAATTAACGTAAAGAAAGAAAATTGTTTTTATGCTTGAATTCACCAGTCAAAAAATGAAGATTGGTCCTGGAGGGCAAACCAAAGCATGACTAAGAATAAAAGCAAAGTGTCACAAAAACTTAATTTTGAAAGTTTTTGTTGTTAATTCAAATGCAAGAAACTTCAAGAGTTTAGGAAACTCTGCTATAGATGTTTATTTACTCACACATTATGGAAGGATATAGCATTGACAGGGTAAATGTTTTCCATTCCCTCCTCTTTGATTCTATGACACTTGAAAGCATATTTCTTTTTCTGTACTTCAGGGCTTGGATCAAAGTATTCCACGGCTACTCTGCCTTCAATGGAGCTCAACACATAGCCTAAGGATTTTGACGCAAGAAAGAATTTACTGTCAGACAAATCCATATTAAAAGAGTGAACTTTAAGAAATTATTCAATTTAGCTCTTTATGAAATGCATCTAAACTTCATGGAAGTTCTGTAAGACTATGTGAAACACTACTGTTTTTTTTTGAAACACTATCCAATGATCTGTAACATATCATCATATAATATCATCCCACAGATCCAATATAAGCAATTCACATATATTGTATTCATTACTTCATCTTTATCTTTCCCTAGAGTATGTTATGAACTAGCCTGCGAACAGCAGATGCATTTCTGGTCGTCACTTCTCTCCTCCGGAGGGAGAGAAGCGACGACCGGAAATGCCTCTGCTGTTCGCAGGCTAATTATGAACCAATATAATGACCAGCTCCCAGTTGGTTTATTAGCTCAATTGGTTAGGGGTGCTGCACTGGGATCGCAGAAGTCAGGGTTTGAATCCTGGCAAGCCTGATTTCTTTCAGGCTTTCTTTTCGCAACTGCTTAAGTTACATCTTCAACTGTGATGATCGTTACATTTATTAGGTCCATAACACTGTCATACGAGTCCACAACTGGAAAATACTCATGTTTATTGCATTTTACTTGTTAACAAAAAATTGCAATCTTTTTACTGTCATAGATTATTCACCATTAACAATTTCATTATTACATTTGTTCAATCAATAACTGCTTATATATTGACACTTAGTTTTCCCCTCTAACTGAAACCTTGTTCCTATAATCTTGACGGTTATGATATTCACTGACCTTGTTTGTTGGGGAATGTTCGAATGCATCTTGTTTGGTATTTTAAACTAGATTCTCTCCTCTGTTGTACACATCCCTACATGAGAATAAATTGACACCATATAAGGTATGACTTTAGTACTTTAAATTTACAAGTTATTGTACCACTGGGAAGTAAGTTACCGCCTTCTCACAAAGATGGGCTTCTTGAATGGAGAGGGATGAGACTGTGGTACATCTTGCATGAGGGTTAAAAAACTAAGTCTTACTAAATAGCACAACAATAGCAAAAAGGTTTGGGCACCAGAAAAATAATGAAATCAATGCTTTTGTCTTTGAATAAAGAATGCCACGGCACCTATGTAAAACCTTTCCAACCAAACACAATGTGAAACTTTAAAAAACTGTTAATTCTTACATTTCCTGATTCTTTTCTGCTTACCAGTACATATCAAAACAGTAAAGTATCAGTAGAACAGTTCTTACCATGTTCCTGAGATCCCACACCATCACTCTCCGTCCTGCCTGCAATAATGCAAAATTTAGTAAATCTAATCAAACAATCAAACAAAGGAAAACCTTGACAGAAACACAAGTAACAAAGTACAAGTATACTTCAGTAAAAAATAATATTCCTTACTGTTCCAACAACAAGTCGCTCATCAGATGTTGCCATTGTGTAGACCTACAAAAAAGCACATTATTAGTTCCTGACAAAAAGAAAGGAAAACTATGGAGAGTTTGTTAAGGACAATAATATTAAAACAGTTATATGTTTTGAAGAAATGAGGAGCTACATGTACAACATCCTGAGATATCCAGAGCAAGTAGCTGATGGGGAAATGATAACAGGCAAATTGTGTTGGTGTGGGCAAAGTTCATCAAATGGTCAGAAGAGTTGTTGGGCACCCACTCATTTGAAAAAAAAAAAAAACCAGCCCAAAAACGATTTATTTGCCTGCTTCTGATTTTTACGGCCAATCAAAAGCAGGGAATTCAAATGCTTCCGGAAGTAGCAATTTCACTTGTAAATAATCTCTCCCAATAATGACATAGTGAATGAAATGAGACCATACAGCTGTAAGTGACTCTTGATCTAATGAGAATTTCTTGTTTAGTTTCAAACAAAAATCAGGGAGATTTGCATGGAGAATTAAGCAGTCAATCAGAAGTCACTTGGGCTTTTTTCTTGGTACTCAAAACTTCATTATTAGTTAGCTGCCCTGCCTGGTTCTCCCCAGATGCAGCTTCAACAACACAATAAAACAGAAAATGATTACTTTCAGGAGACAAAAACTCAAGGATGGTTTTAAATACCTTTTCAGGTTGTTGATATGTTCCTGTACACTGATTTGCCCTTGGATCCCACAGTTTGATGTTTTTGTCCCAACTGCCTGTAACAATCACACCTAGAAATCACAGTAACAAGTACAATATATTAATAATAATAATAATAATAATAATACATTAATATTATCCTCTCCCACTTAGGGCCTAGAGGCTTTTCAGAGATAATGAAACAAATAATTTCAATGGAACATAATGGTAGGAGGTGAACCAGTTGGCTATTTTACAAGTGTGGCCAAGGATTTGAACTAGGGACCAAGCTAGCAGTCAGGGCAGGATTAGAACTTGGGGCCTATGAATTAGAGGTCCAGCACTCTAACCGCTCTGCCATGCTGCAATTCATTTTAGGAAATTAAAAAAAAAAGGGGAGGCTCTTGTCATTGTCTGAGGAAGCTCTGTCCGCACAAAGGCTGTCAATTTAGTTCACACTGAGCAGAAACTGTCTTGCAACAACACTTCAAAAAAACAATTAAACTTCGGCTGGTACTTGGGACAAGACTTGCCTGGGTTCTTGCCCATTCAGTGAGAGATCAAGGAAAGTTCCTTGCACAGAATCAAAATTTACTTGTCTCAGACTACCTTGCAAGACTTTTTTCAAACCACAAGTATAACCTCCCTAATCTACTGCAGAGCTTTGCTTAGCCTTTGATATAAGCCCCTCCATTTTGCAAGCCACCCAAAACCCCTTATGAAGATGTATAAGCCCATGGTTTATAATCAGCAGTTTAGGGTATTACATAAGGCACTAAGCAAACCTCATTTCATAATTTGTTAGGTCTTACCAATAGCAGGGCAGAATTCTACACATTTTATTGGTGCCTCATGCATTCCTACTACTTGCTCAGTTGAAGTGTTAAAGTCCATCCTGAACAAAACACAATAGGATTAATCAACATTCTATTTGATATTACAAGACAGGAAGTCATACAATGTTATTTTAAATTAATTTCTTTTCTTATCTTTGAACAAAGATTACCCTTTTAACAGTTACTTGAAATGGTAATCGCAGTTTATACAGGTAACAGTCTCCTCCAAGTTTTGAAATGTTAGCTTATCGTACATCACATTGATCCACATACATATAACGTCAAAAGCCATGGTAGGCACATACCACGTTGAAAATGCTGCTGTTGCTAAATAGTGTACCTTACAGAAATACAACTGAAATTTTAAAGGCTTGTTTATAGTGGAATTTGCACTTAGCTTATCCAGCTAGTTTACAGGCACTCCACTCAAATATTTAGAAACAAATCATTCAAATACAACATAACAGGATTAAAAACCCCAACTGGCAGAAGGCCGAGGATTTGAACTCGGGACGACTGAGAACAAATCCAGCAAGTGGCCAGCACAGGATTCGAACCCGGGAAGGCTGGATTGCGAGTCCGACGCGCTGAACACTCGGCCAAGCTGCCTCCCATTTTGCAGCAATATACACGGTAGAATGCTCCTTTGTTTTCTAGGTTTTAGCATTTTTGGCAGGCAAGTGAAGTCAAAAGGTTAGTGCTAGATTTTCTCTCATCTGATGACTCGTACAAAATAAAATCAACTCACACTTTGAGGGTACTGTCTAGACCACCACTGTATGAATGTACACCATCTTGGAAACAGCAGTCTAGGACAGCATTAGCGTGATTGTACTTCAGTCGCATGTTATTATTCTGAACATCATAAAGTCTAACTGACTGTTGAAAGAACAAAAAAATCAAGAGCATTAAAGTTGACTCTATCTTAATGGACATCTCTATAAGACAGACACCTCTATAAAAGAGACACCCAGATTTGGTCCTTGCCCTTCTTTACTTCTTTTATTTGACTCTCTATAAGACAGACACTTAATGGATTTAGTGCTGACCACAAAGATGTCCAATTTTGGAGCCTGAACCCTGGTAAATTTTCCGACAGCCCTGCACATTTATCATGCGTACAATTTTTTACTCTATTCATATTGACTATTTTTATGAAATATTATAAGCTTGCTGCATGCATGATCAATGTAAGAGCTATACAGAAATCTTTCTGCTTTCTATTAAGCTTTGAGGCATGGCATAGCTAAAGAATACAGGTCAACTTTCTTAGAATTATAAATTGCAAGTCACTCAGCAGCTCATTAGTGAAAATAGAGGCTCAGCGGCTCGCCAGTCCTGACGGAAGAGCCACCAAGCCACTAAATCATAAACATGTACCCCTCTTGTTTTATAACTGTAACCTGGACTGAGGAGACACTAAAATATACGCCTTGATTGTTCTTTAAAGCTTATGCCTCTCAATATACTTACATACCTTGCATACTACTTGCTAGTAAAATTTGTATCTTTTTCGTTCTTTCTACACTCATTATGACTAGCGAGGCACCGAGCCACTTCTATCAAGGCCTCACAAAATGAAGCAACGTGGCTCTGTATTCTGTAGCCGCTGCATTTTTTTCTTTGTCAGTCAGATCGTTAGTGTCACGGGATTCCCATTATACTGCTCAAATTATACTCGAAAAAGCGTCTTTCCGCCGGCAGAACTTAAGTTTACCTAAGCCTATAATATTAAAGTCATCAAATTTCTGTATTGTGACCGATTCAAACATAGTTGACTGAAATAAAAGAAGCTTACTGTATCCCACGATGATACCACTAAAAATGATGCTGATGTAGGGCTGAATTTGACGGAAGAAATTCCATCTGAGGGAGGTTGTTCAAGTTGAAATTCGTTGGGTCCGTCCGCCATTTTGGAAAATGTGCGCGCGTTATGCTTACAGGGCATTATGGGAGTCTTCCCAGTCTCTCACGTTTTCAAATCTTCTAGCTTTTTTGAGCGGATACCACGGAAACAAGGTTGTTCTTCATATAATGCCACTGAATGATACCTTACAAAACACTTGCTCTTGGGCGATGTGCCCAAATGGATGAAACGGCAGTGATAGAGTTTATTATTTTTTTTGCCGATTTGAGGTAAGGCATTCCAGTTTTTATATAGAGTTGTGTGATCTTTAAACCTTTTATACTCGAGATATCTAGACTGTCACAAGATTCCCGTTATCTAGGGATTAAGCGTTAACTGTAGACTAATACCAAGTATAATTTGCTGCCACGTTGTATAACTGGTGGAATACTGGATTCTCAATTAGTGACATTGGCTCAGTCAATTGGAAGTATGCTCGTCCCTTTCTTGCCGGGCATTTGTCATTTTTTTCTTTCAAATGGCCTGCGGATGTCCCAAGGTGGGGCCAGCAGACCATGGGGCGTAAAAAAAGTGGACATCAATCTACAATATAGCTTAAAACTTGTCGATCGGAGTAAATGGTTATAGTCCCACGCCTCTTTGGGGTCTGAGTCGAAATTCTGCTGTTGCTGGCATTTTTTCGTGAAAATTTCTCGGCTACATATAGTGCGTATTAGCGCCTTACGTTGAACAGACTTTCACCAAAATCGCAAAGACCCAATGTGAGAAATTCAGCGGTTTCCAAATTTAGGTCATAATTTATGCAAAAATAAAAAGCCAACTTTACACGATTATAAAACTATGATATCTCGGTGAACATTCGGAAGTCAGCCAAGCGCGGTCATTGCACACATGCGAAACAAGAATGTTGTATCATGACAGACTAGAAACAATCGAAAACTCCCAAAGCACAAACTCAGCCAAAATGCTAAAAATCTTCAATGTTTACTCAAGTTTGGGCTTATAGAAGATAATGTCACAGTTTTTCAATGATCATAAAATTCAGAATTCGGGTAGTCAGTTAATCAATTGTAGCCCTGAAAAAATTTGAAGGAAAAAAGGCTACAAATTTTTAAGAAAATGCTTTTTTCGTGAGAAGGAATCCTAGACGCTGACAAACGTCAACAACTAGCAAAAACTATAATTTGTATATGTTTGCATTACTCGAAATCGCGCGCATTTACAAGGCCCTAAAGGTTTTTTCTGACTTGCAAGGACCCATCTGTTATAAAGATCCCTAAAATAGAGGGATAAATTTCATAGTTTATTAGATATAATCATGTAAAGTTGGCTTGTTATTTTCGCATAAATTATGACCTAAATTTGGAAACCGCTGAATTTCTTGCATTGGGTCTTTGCGATTTTGGTGTCTGTTCAACGCAAGGCACTAATACGCACTATATGTAGCCGAGAGATTTTCACGAAAAAATGCCCGCAACAGCAGAATTTCGACTCAGACCCCAAAGAGGCGTGGCACTATAACCACGTGACATTTACTCCGATCGCCAAAAATTTTATGCTGTATTGTAGATTGATGTATATGTTATCCATGCTATATGTTAGACTTACGATCAAAGTAAAGTTTGGGATACCATAGAGCTTCAAAGTAGGATGGTACCCTCACAAAATAACTGGGTCGAGTCACCTTAAGAGGTGACTGCATTAACAGGGGATTTTTATAAGAAAATGTACATAGCCATTTTTCTGGGCCCAAAAAACTGGTCACCCTATTACCGAGGTGGCCGTAAGGTAGGGTTCTGCTGAAATTAAAATAAATAAATGTATCAAATATAAGTGAATTTAAAGTAAAATAATTAATTATAATAATGATAATAATAAACTGATTAATCTAATCTAAGCGCCTTCTGAAATCATGGACTTTTTTTCTATATCTACAACATTGCCAGGCAATTCTTTGATGGTTCTGTAATAAAACAAATTTCTATAGGCTTCAGTCTTTGGTGTTAATTCAATGAACTTGTCACTGTGGAAGGATCATAGTTGGTGATTGCACCTTTTGATATAGCTTGGTATTTCTAATCATGATTCACCATGGATGGCCTCAAGAAATAGCTGTGTGAGGCAAGCAATTTTCTTTTATCTTGGAGAGGGGGTCAATCCTAGTCATTAAGTAAGTTTGTGACAGTTACAGGTGTTTGCTTCCAACAATTTTTCACAAATCATGCAGATACAACAACAACAACAACAACAACAACAACAACAACAGTGTATTTATTAACAGAACTATAAAGTTTACAATACTTTATGCCCCGCGAATAGCTATTAGGCTGATTTAGCAACAGAACGGGAACATCATTTGACGACGGGAAAGCGCGCGGAAAGGACTAAACTCGACTTCTGGTGCCCAATTTGCCGCACAGCCATTGGTCAAGCCAGTTGTTTGATTTCCGTGCGCCATCGTCAACTGACGTTCCCGTTCTGTTGCTAAATCAGCCTATTATGCTAATCTAGGCAGGACAAGCAGATTGCTGTTTGACAGCTTCTATTTGCTTTATATGCTTGTCCTTGTCCATCCAGGGGTTTCCCACTCTTTGACAGTTAGTTGTTTACTGTTTGCCTTAAGGTGCTTAATTTTTTGATATCAATAATTTTATCATTATGAGATCAGGTCAGGGTTCAAAATGTTGTCTTTCCCTGGCAGATATCAGGACACAGCTTCCCTGGCCCTTGTCCATTTAGCCTGCGTGGCCGGCATTGAAAGGGGAAGGGGAAGGGGGAATTTGGGCGTGCAAGCCGGCCATGCAGGCTATTGTCCGTTGGGCAATTGAACATAAAAAATGTGCCCAATAATGATAGAATGATATTATTGTGACAAAGTACAACCTGTATTTTCAATTCTCTTTCTGCTTACAGACAATGTCTATTTTCTTATTTTAGACTTAAGAATGCTTATTAGCCTGAGGAGGAAATTTTTCTATGCAGTTACATTGATAACTGTAGCCTTGTTTGTGGTTTCCTTGTGGTCTGTATATCGTGATGAACTGTTGTGGCTTAAGGTTGGTTTGCTAACAGCTTTGTAACCTTAAAAAAGTGTTATAATACTGTGTGTTTTTAACAGTCGCAAATACATCCTGGATATCTGTTGAACTGAAGGTGCTAAATATGCTAGTAGTCCATCATTAGAAACATTAAGTAACTCTCCAGACTGATTTCAATACATTTTCTTAAAGAATAAGTTGAGAGAATTTGGTACCCTTTTTATAACCTCTCTACATTGGCCATCTACCTGTACCACTCCATAGATTAAAATTCCTACCAGTACTTCCAGTAATATTTGAAAATTTGNTGATAACTGTAGCCTTGTTTGTGGTTTCCTTGTGGTCTGTATATCGTGATGAACTGTTGTGGCTTAAGGTTGGTTTGCTAACAGCTTTGTAACCTTAAAAAAGTGTTATAATACTGTGTGTTTTTAACAGTCGCAAATACATCCTGGATATCTGTTGAACTGAAGGTGCTAAATATGCTAGTAGTCCATCATTAGAAACATTAAGTAACTCTCCAGACTGATTTCAATACATTTTCTTAAAGAATAAGTTGAGAGAATTTGGTACCCTTTTTATAACCTCTCTACATTGGCCATCTACCTGTACCACTCCATAGATTAAAATTCCTACCAGTACTTCCAGTAATATTTGAAAATTTGCCACTGTGAAAACCAGTGACACTTTCCCCAAATGTTGGTGTCATGGAACCAGGAGCATGTGTATTCACATTTTGTTTTATTTTTGCTTGCAGGTTGATAAATGGGACAGTTGTGAGAAAGTGATTTGGCAAAATTCCTTTTCAAATCTGTTGAGAATATTTCTGAATCCTGACCATAAAAATCACAAGACTGACCAAGACATCTTGGACACATATGGCAGTAGACAATGTCATGACATTCTACGGCATGACTTTCCTCACCCTATTGCCACATCAATAGAAATTGAATTTCCAATTGCGTATGGAATACTTGTATATAAAGGGGGGCCTCTTCTTGAACAGTTATTCAAAGCAATATATATGCCACATAATGCCTATTGCCTTCATGTTGATGTGAAGGCCTCTGAAACTTTCGAACGGGCTGTTAAATCTATGACCAGGTGCCTAAGCAATGTCTTTATCACCAAAAAAACCTTGGATGTGATATGGGCACATATTAGCATCATTCAAGCGCAGTTAAATTGTATGGAAGATTTATTGGAAAGTCCCATTAAATGGAAATATTTTATAAATTTAGTGGGACAAGATTTTCCTTTGTATGACAATAATGGCATTGTAACTGCATTGCAGACACTTCAAGGAAAAAACAACATTGAAAGTTTTCCTATGCCTGAGCGTAATTACTACCGCACACAATTTGTTTATCGCTTTGAAAAGACAGGTGAATTTTCCCACGATTATAGAAGAATACAAACATCACTTAGAAAAGAACCACCACCATATGGACTTAAACTTTTCAAAGGCTCAAATCATGTGGCCTTGACAAGAAATTTTGTACAATTCATCTTGTATGATAAAAAAGCCAATGAATTTTTTAACTGGCTAAATGACACTTTTATTCCCGATGAAGCATTCTATGCTACTCTTCAACAAATTCCCGGTGTTCCTGGTGGTATCCATGGAAACCACAGCTGGTTTATGAGAAGACTGATGTGGTTTAATGATGTTTGCTATGGACAAATTGTAAGAGAAATCTGTTGGCTCAGTGTGGCTGACTTAAGATGGGCTTTATAAGCAGGAAAGTAAATGGCTATTTATACAGAAAATCCCATTTGATTATGATAAAAGGTTATTAAAATGCTTAAGAATGGCAATAACAGGAAGGAAGTATGGACAGAGTTACTTTCCTTGAAAAGGACACTTATTGATGAACACTTTACAATTATTCAAATTAGTTTAAACCCAAGTTGTTCTTTTCTAAACACGTTTTGGTGCTCATAGGAATCAGAGCAGTTATTTTAGACCTGATTCTAGTAGACATAAATCTGCTGGGGCAAGTTGATCTTGTTGACTAAAAAAATATTACCATCATTACTTATGAGAAAAGCATCGAAGATCACTGTATAGCTAACTTTAGTGATGAGAAAGTAATGTACAAAGGGAGATGTTCCTAGACAGCCAAGTGTTCTCAATAAGGGAGAAATTAATGAGAAAGGATTACTTTGTCCTCACAGGTAGAATTTCTGTCTTGAAGAAAATATTAGATTATGCATTTTTTAGCTGCTTCCTACTAGTATCTATAATTAAAAATTCTGTTTTATCATCATTTAACATAAGATTATCTGAAATCATCCAACTCCTAACATCACTGATACAGTCAGTCATAGACTTGACGGCAAAATCAGCATCCGCAGATCGATTGGGGCTGAATGATACAACTGTGTATCGTCCACGTAGCAGTGAACTTGTGGGAGGTGGCATTCAACGATCTGAAACAGTTTGCGCGTTTAGATAGTGAAAAGCAAGGGGCCCAAACATGATGATGACCGATGATCAAACCTTTTAATTTTTAAGGCTTACTTCCCAGCAATTATAAAAAGTGAAAGAGAAATAGCAAAAAATTCCAACTTCTTATTAAATCTTTTCTCATGGTTGAGAGCAAAAGCGAAAAGCCAAAATTTACTCCCCTAAGCGATACGACAAGCATCCCAGCCCCTTTCATATGGGAGTCCCCCGGGCTACACCAACCCTAGCCTGAGTAATGAGCTGACATTTCACGCTGCCACCATTTGATTCCCTGCAGAAATTCCAGACTGATGGTGCTAGTGCTTCTAATTGGTTGAACATTTGCTTCATCCAATTAGAAGCACTACACAGATCTTGGTGGTGATACATCATCAGTATGGAATTTCTGCAGACATTCCTCAGACATTGGGTTTTTACCATTTACTAAACGTTTCTGGAAAACCCAGTTGGAGAGTGAGTGGAACACGATTTTTTCTGAACGGAATATTCTAAACGGAATTTTGTGTTCTATTTCTTCAGGTCATCTTTGATACCAGGTTCACTGCTCCACAGCTATTTTTCGGTGAATGGAACTGGTTTGGTCAAATGGTTAACACTATTCCACGAGGAAATTTTCCTTATATGAATTTTGTGTAACATTTGCCCAAACCATGATTTGACCGGGTTGACCATGTAAATGGGGAAATGGTAAATGGCCAACCAATGGTGGCGTTGCAAAATATCAGCTGTTTTCTCAAGCTAAGCCAACCCAAGCATTGAGTTGATGCGTTTGTTCGCAGCGGTTCAGGATATGTATAAAAAGTCCAAAGTACTGTCTTTTGAAAGTGCAGCTTATAAGCTGTTTATCATTGTCTGATGTTCATGTTGTTATCATTGTAACAAAACTTTGGATTGACTGAGATGTCTTTGGCACTATATGCCTTTATCAGCATTCCCCAGTGGATGAACAGGGTGTTCAGTAAACATTTGTCAGCTTTTATGGTTACAGACATACCGAAAGGCATCTTTCGTTCTGGTAGGCTTTTCTTGGACAAACTATGCAAATTTGTACATAAGCTAAAATAGAAAAGAACGTCACATCATGTGTGGTGTCAGGTTCTTGTGAAAAGTGAGACCTCGGAGAGGATCCTTAGTATGTTGCCACGCATTAGCCACTTTGGAAGGGAGTATCATTACAGTACTGGCTTCACTCCTTGACAACAAACTCAACCTCCTATGTGATTTTTTTAGTTTGTGAACTCTTGCTAACTGAGTTTTTATGAGGACGTTTCTTCACTAGGTGTCCTCCTACGAGCAGATCAAAAGTTAACAAAACCATACACTACGTCATCTTCACTGTCCATTCAACCATATCGTCAAAGGTCTTACAAAGGGTGTGGGGGAGGGGGATTGGTGGGTGGAACTCCCTTGTCCCATAATGATCCACAACACCAATTTCTGATCCTCATAAAAACAAATACTCGCTCACTAAGCTCAAAACGTTATATCTATTTCACACTCAGACCTGACATGACATTACCTCTTTTACATGTTACAGACAGTCCTAATAAAACTAGAGAGTCCTAATGAACTTGCATGTTCCTACTAGTCCCCTTTGTTCTAAAGCTACTTTTACAACAACAACAATAAATTATAATACAGCAATATCTACCTTACAACACGGTTATAAAATCAAGTCTTTCCAGGTCTTCTCATAGTGAAAGGTGGATAGTGTAGTTATTCAACTCCATTATTACCTTTTAGTCAACACCTAAAATAGCGCATGTGTTTTCCTTCCCTGAGGGGGGACGCCTATCAAGCTTATCTATCCCTCCCCTTCTCTACGCACACACAACAAGTAAGGTACAACTAGAATCTATCTTTTCTCCCTGAACTAATTTACTGACATACAATTACAATGTTTTAGACAAAATTCCCTAGTCTCTTAATTGTATGGTCTCAATTAGGTTTGATGGGACCTCCAAAGACTCCTTAAAGGGGACTCCGATCATCACCACTTTTGCTTTAATTTTGGAATTTTATATTCTACTGAGTCACTGAAGATTTTTCCGTGTCCGCCGACGTTCGCGCTATACCCCAAAAAAGAACGCCCTATTGCTTTTGTAATGCTTTCAAAACAGATTTTCTCACTTAAATTGTCAGCTTAAGCGAGAAACCTTTGATACAGGATGTCTCAAAGACTTTTCAAGTTTTAAACCTCAAAGAGTTAAGGGTAAATTCAGTTAACGTGACGAGTTTTAATCTCAAAATTGTTTTCAAAAATCAGCGCATGCAAAGCAAACCAAAATGACGTCACAAATGTGCTTATATATTCTCATGTAAAGTTAAACACACTCTGGCGGGGCAATCAGAGTGCGCATACTGTGTTGATTATTTTATAATTATTTAGTGGTTCAATTTGATCCATGGTTCAAATATTACTTTTCTTTGTTCCTGGGTATTATAGTTAATGATCCCTCGCTTTAAACAAGGATAAAATCGAACATAACAGTTACCTTAGGTCAAAGAAACTGATATGTACAACTGATCGAGTTCTTAAAGGCACTCTTTCCCTTGCAAGACTGTTTTGCGCCTTTTGCGCCAGAAAGCTTCTTACCTGAGAGGGGGGTGACTTGGGAGTAATTAGATTGAGAACCTATTCTTCACATCTCCTTAAATCCAGTGCAGACTTTAACTGAGAGTTTGCCAAAACTATTTAAGTACTTTTTTGTTTACAATGGACCTCTTGCTAGTTCAGTAACATTGTATTAATTATATAGTTATGCTGTGGGTGAGGTTTTTACTTTTCTGATACGAACACCTTTGTGTCAAGCATCAGGTTCTGGTCTCAGCTCTGGTCAGTACTGACCATACTGTGCATAAAAACCTCACTGTCTGCCACTGCAGCAGCACCAAATTGACAGTTATAACTCAGCCTCCTGCTGCTTATTGAGTATCTTTAATCCACTCCTCCAAGACGGCTGCCACATTTAAGTGTTCACTTTTATGGACAATGTTTGGCAATTGAAGAACAGTGACATAAGGGTAATGCCCTGCTTATTGAGCACCTTTAATCCACTCCTCCAAGATGGCTGCCACATCTGAGCGTTCAATTTTATGGAGAATGTTTAGCAATTGAAGGACAGTGACATTAGGGTAATAGTTTGTAAAAAGAGTCTCAGTTGCATTTCTTTGTTGTCCAATCAACTCAGTGGTATCTCTGTCCATGCCAAGCTCTTCTGCCACCATTCGAAAATCATCAAAAGACCAGTCACGTCGTATGTTTAGCTTAATGCAAATCTTGGAGTAAATTCTAAAGGGTATTTGCCTCACTTCCATGTTCTCCTTCACCTCCTTGGAGTATCTCTCTGATTGGCGGTGTCCCTGTGATTGCTGATTACTATATGTCTGCTGGTGTGTAGTACTGGGAGGATGTCCAGCATATTGTGTGACAGGAATTTGTTGGTTTGTTGTGGGTAATTGAGAAGGGTAGCTTGGAACATGCGAATCTGAAATGAAAAAGAGCAAAGTTAGTCACTTTATTTTTTCGTTCCAATCTGCACGTGTTTCCATTACTGTATATTTTTGGAATAGGAATTAATGCGATTGTTACAATGTCTTCTATTTACCTAATTCAGCCAACAGAAATCTACATGCAACGGATTATTGTAGGTCGGCCAGGGCTGCAGATGTTACAATTCAACAAATACCTGAATAAGCAATTTTGAATTTATTTCTGTTGAGCTCAAAAGGATTTGTATAGTTTCGCACTTCAAAAGTTCCAGGTTATTGACATTTTTTCGCACAATTCAGCAAGTTTCTGAAAAACATTGATACCCATGATTTGCAACTAGAGACTACCAGAAAATGAAACCAGCTAACAACATAGGGTACAAAGAAGTCAGTTTTACAGCAAGATGTAGCTAGCATGTACTAGCCCAAGGGTAATTTTAACTGGCATGAGAAAATTTTTGGATGAGCAGGACTGATTACAGTTCTTCTGTAATTTGAATTCCCTTAAAAAACTTCACTTGCCGTTTGGCAAGTAAAAATATTACTTTAAATCCTCTATTAAGCTCCCTAGGGGTGGGGGGGGGGGAGGTTATTTATTTCAAACACATTAGGGGGGGGGGGGCAAAATTGAGAAAGAGGGCTTATTTAATTTAGCAAACACGATGGTATCAGTTCTTCACAAAGAACTAGAATACAAAGTGAAAAACCTTTATAGTAATGATACATTGGGGGACATGCAACCCAGGATCAAAAACAAATCGGAACTTCCACTGGTG